AACATTCCAAATGCCTAAAATACAAACAAGGCTGTTCATAATGCAGCATGACCAAAACATATACAGGAATACAAATCAATTCAAGGTATTATTAAAATACTGATCATGGCATTAACACAGCTCTACTAAATATATACTGAAATTTACACCATCGTTTTAGGCCTTCCAGCTCACCGTATCTGAACATCCTATAATTCAGGAAATGGAGTAATAAGCATTCATATAGTATCATTCTCTGAACCCAGAGTAGTTTGACATTATTCTCTGGAAAATACATTCAGATTTGAAACGACCAAATTTTCTTTTCAGCTTTTTTTAAACTCTGTTTCTGTCCATGATGAAAAAGCAAAGCGATTAGAAGCAATTTTCGCTCCTTGAAATGTTAGAACCTCAGTGAGTCATGAGAGACTTTAGATTTCGCAAATAAAAACCAATTACATTCCCTAACAAGTTGTCAGTAAAATCTAATAAATCATCACTTGGACTGTTAAGCTGCTTGTTTGAAGAGGAACAAATCAGGATATTCTTAGTGTCCAAAGCCACAGATGGAGGAAAAAACATTTGCATAAATACTGAAACATACATCATGTGAAAAATACGTAACAGCACCTAAAATACAACCCTAAACATAAACAACTTTAAAGATGAATGCATGGAATGAGTAGTCTGAGTGTATAGTGTTTAATCCGTGACATTATCAACATGTATAAAATGGAACTTTATAATATATACACACTTGACAAAGGTCTTGTCACTCATTTAAGTTTTAGGAACAACAAATAGTAACGACTTCTAGTTGATCATTTGGTATCAGAAGTGGCTAATATGAAAAGCAAAGGCCTCTAAATGATGCTTATTTTACCAAAATAAAGTATGAGCGTGCCTTGATTTTTAATTATTTCATTAGGACAGTAAGGTCTGACTTTGCTTAGGCAAAAGTCTTGTCACTTAACAGAAATAATGAACAGTATAGAATATAAAGTCATGGTGCAGTGGAAAAAGAATTAATATTGTGTATGACTCCCATGAGCTTGGAGGACTGCATCCATATGTCTCTGCAATGACTCAAATAATGTATTGATAAAGTCATCTGGAATGGCAGAGAAAGAGTTCTTGCAGGACTCCCAGAGTTCATCAAGATTCTTTGGATTCATCTTCAATGCCTCCTCCATCTTACCCCAGACGTGCTCAATAATGTTCCTTCCGGTGACTGGGCTGGCCAATCCTGGAGCTTTCCTTTGATGTGGAGGCTGAAGTATGAGAAGGAGCGCTTTCCTGCTGAAGGATTTGCCCTCTCCTGCGGTTTTTAGTGTAATGGGCAGCACTATTGTCTTGATACCTCAGGCTGCTGATGTTGCCATCCACTCTGCAGATCTCTTGCACAGCCCCTATACTAAATGTAACCTCAAACCATGACTTTTACTTCACCAAACTTGACTGATTTCTGTGAGAATCTTGAATCCATGCAGGTTTCAATAGGTCTTCTGTGTATTTGTGATAATTGGGATGCAGTTCAAAAGATTATTAATCTAAAAAATCGATAAATCTATCTTCTGCCACTTTCCAAATGATCAACTAGAAGTCAAGTTATTAGTTCTTGCTCTTACAACTGAGATTGATGACAAGACTTTTGTCAGGTAGTGTTTATATGTGTATGTGTATATATATATATATATATATATATATATGCATTCTGAAAGCTAAGTATACACGGCTAAGTTTTAGATGCTGCCAGTGCATCCATATTGTATGTATGTTTCAGAAAATATACAAAAATCATTCGTAAACTTTATGCATGGATTGTAAGAAATACAAAAATAAAAACAGGACAAAACTGAACCACTGTACAGAAGCTGTGCCCACATAATTGTACATTGTATAATCACATTAAATACTAAGATAACAACAATATTCCTAAATTTGACTCTTCGGCCATGTTAGAGGCTTTAAATAAGTCTTTGTATTGTACATTTCTGTCTGGGAAAATAATTTCCTTAAAAATAAGTGGCGTAATTATTTGCTCCCGATAGATAAACAAACAATAGTAAAAGTCTGAATGCTTGGTTTGTATGCACTTGTATTTTAACTGTACTATATATTGCCCTTGTTCCTTACACACGCACACCAAAAGTAAATCCCTCAAATCAAACGATGAAATGATCTATTGTATGTTTTAAATTCATAAACTAGCTGAAAAATCCTATTGCCAAAGAAACTGACCGCACAGCATTCCAGAAAACAGCTGAGTAATTAAGAGAAAACTATTTTCACACAATCTAAACAATAAGCTGACCAAGATAACCGTGTGGAAGCATGCACTAGCATGTGTGACTGTACAACACCATGTTTATGGCTCTGTGTAAACCAGTGTCTTAATGTTTTAGTTTGCAATACTGAATGAAGCGATTTAATGAACACTGAAGAGATAGTGAAGCCAAAAACGAATCTTTTGCCATTATTTACTCACCCTTATATATTTCTAAACTTGTATGATAATCTTTGACAGGTATTTTTTGCTTCAAACAAAGTTGAAAAAAAAATGTGCCAATAGTATACTACTACACTCTAAAAAACATTGGGTTATTTATTTAACCTGGTTGACCTAAATATAGTTGGTGCTTTTTTGGGTTATTTTGAACCTTTATTGGGTTATTTATTAATAACTCAACCAGTTGGGTTAAATATTTGGTTCTTTTTGGGTTATTTTTAGCTTTTGTTAGGTTATTTACTTAATAACTCAACTGGTTGGGTAAAATATTTTGAATTTAAACAGTCATATGCGTACGCAATGGTGTTCTTGCATTATAAAGTTTATTTAAGCTGTAACACAATAATATATATATATATATATATATATATATATATATATATATATATATATATATATATATATATATATATATATATATATATATTTCTTCTTGATGATAAAAATGTGCGCTTCATAGCAGATCTATATACGCATAAAAACAATTTCTCCTCTGCGTTAATATCTACATTTTTTGGGGGGGAAATAATACACATATTTGAGAAATTCTGCTATCATTTTCGCCTTTAGGACCCTGCGGAGACATCAACACAATAATAACACTATATAGTGGTAAAGCCCCTTTTTTCATATTTCAGATTTGCTAAAATATACACGGTGCTCTCTAGTGGATTTGTTATCCGAAATGTGCAACAAGTCAGGTTTTGCAAAAAAATTATGCTGAGTCACGCATTTTTAATGTGCCTGGGTTGCCAAATATACTGTGGCTTAATATGACAGAAAATAGTCATAGGAATGAGAGCACAGAAGCCCACTGAAAACAAAGGAAGTTACAAGACTCCTTCTTTTTGCACATTTTTAGACTTAATATGTGAACAGACTCTTAGAATCTTGGTGGAAATACTAAAGTCAAAATAGACTCGTTCTGAAAACGTAGCTTTATATCCATTTCTGGAGATCACGAATTATGTAGCTAGAAGTACGTATGGCTAGATTTTGTCTTTAAAATAAATGCTACGGGGTGGTATGATGCCATTCCTTTTCTTGCTTAACAGCTGACCGCTTGCCTCCGTATGGAAAGCTTTCCCGCTGTAATCAGTTTGTCCAGTTGCTCGCAGCATATGTTGGCGGACTTGAGACACAAAAAAAAAGAGTTAATCGTAACGACATGGTTCAAATCTGGCGAAAACATTTTCAGTAAGCAGGTAAGACAAAAACAAAAGCCTAAAAATAAAATACGTAAGTAAATAACAGTGAAAATGTGGTAAAAACTGAAAACGTGGTGAAAATCAGGAAGCTTTTCTTTTTCTGGATTGTTTTTGAAAAAACTGTCGGTTGGGTTTTTATGGAAGCGGTTAGGCACCGATCAATTGGTGCTATTTGAAAACAATATCGTTGGGGCCTAGGGAAGTCTGTTGGTGAGGTTATCAGTCAGTCGAAAGCGGCCTCTGGTGGATTTACGTGAGAAGAGCAGGTGCGAATGGCACTCGCGAGTAATTTGAGATCTTAAAAAGCATACACAGCGGCCTCTGGTGGATTCGCGAAAATTAAAACTGCAAAAAAATTTAGCTCCTGGGACGTATTTGGCACTCTCCAGAAATGTATATAGGGGTATATTTTCAGAATGAGCCTGGGTTGACTAACATACTATTCATGTAATGCTTTATAAATATTTTTAATTCAGACATACTACCCATCACCTTCACTGTTTAGGGATAATTAGAAGCAGGGGCTGAGTAAATAATACAATTCACATTTTTGGCTAAACTATCCCAACTTCAGAAGTACTTTATCAGGTACTTGGTATGAATACAAATCTGCCTTGGAAACTACCTAACTAAGGAAAATGGATTTGAAATAAAGCAATATTCTGCAGATCCACGACAAGAGTGTAAACAACAAGGCCATCTGTGAAGAAACAACTATAGCCAATAGTGAATGTGCCCAACCCCTTTGGGATATAAGAATACTAACCCATTAACACAGCTTAAGGTGTGGTTAAATAATAGCAAACGCTCAGGAAAAGCTCTTTCTCGGTAAAGGGGAATTTACTGTGAAACACTGAAACCTGCATGAGCGATGGTGGTTTTGCTTTAATGGAAGTAGCATATGCTTGTCAATGCGTTCCTCTCGAAATACTCCCCAGAGCGACTCCTGATTTGGGGTTTTATAAATGTCAGAAACCCCGAAGCTTTTTGTGATTCTTTATAAGCATGATTATCCGTCCTACAGTACCATGTTCTACATTATAATCACGAGAAGCACACACAGGTTATTCACAGCAGTCTTTACAAGGTTCATGTCACAATTACTCCCTCAATCTCACGTCTAGAACCGCAGTGTATTTACACGTTTGAATTGGCACTTGACAAATACATACGGACATCCGCCGTTCGCTTTTGCTTCAAAAATATCGCTCTAACTGGCAGCCCTCCGTAGTGTTCCTAGAGGCTGTTTGGTGTGTTCTTTCGTTTCTTAACATTTGCTTGCTTTGTACATTTTTTTTTTCGTGTTTTTGTGTGTTACAGGAACAAGGTGCACTCCTTCCCAGCAGACGGGGTGGAATGGTTCCTCATTGCCTGGGGAATTAAGAAGCTTTAGTCCAGCGAAAGCAGCGGCTGCATGTTCTCTTCTTCACTTTTCACTTTCTCTGGTCGTTTCAGGACACCTGGCTCCACCACGGACTGGGACCTGCGGGTATAAATAAAATATGAATGGTGTCCCCAGTAACCATTTTTTTAAGATGCAAAACTAATAGGTGAAAAAGTTTGAGAGTGCTTTGGAAATGTATAGTTTTAACCTGGAAATAAGCGTAAAATGAAAAGCAATGAATAAAGTTGTATTTATATTTATAATATGATATAATATAATACAATATAATATAATATAATATAATATAATATAATATAATATAATATAATATAATATAATATAATATAATATAACATAACATAACATAACATAACATAACATAACATAACATAATATAATATAATATAACATAACATAACATAACATAACATAACATAACATAACATAACATAATATAATATAATACTTTAGAAAATGTAAATAATGAAAGAGATAAATTACTTATGCACATTTTTTCAGTCGAACTTTTAAATCATTTTTAAAATAATGAATTAATTAAATAATAAATAAATGAATAAATAAATAGTGTTGTCTGAGATTTTCTTGTAAGACGAGCATTTTTTTCAGCCTTCTATGTTTGTGTTTAGTTATTTCACTTTAAGGACAATAAAAACAACCTAAACTTTGCCATAAAGATTTACATAAAAGAAAGATGCTCGTATTAGAAGAGAAGTTCAGATGGCGCTTGGAGATTTTTGCATTCGACTCTTCAAATGTAGTGACAGACATTTCTCAGTTTCAATTGTAATCATTCTAAAATAATATATTAGCATTTTTTTTTATAAAACATTAAAATGTCCAGCATTACTACAATCATTAGAATGTTCTTAAAAACTATAAAATAAGATTATTATTACAACCTACCCACAACTTTAATATTTATTATTTAAATGTTTCTTTTCTAATATTCCAAAAATATTAATGTCAACATCACCTTAATAAAATCAAAAGCACATCGTGGGAATGTTGCTTGTGGTGTCATCGCAGAGAGGTTATACAGTATGTCAATTTCCAAAACCTTTTCATTCAGTGTTCCTTGCTGGTGGAATGATCTTCCCACTCCCACTCTGACTGCGGATACACTGGTATCCTTCAAATGACAACTAAAAGCCCATCTCTACAGAGAAGACCTGAACCCCGGTGAAATATTACCAAAACCACCTATATAAAAAAAACTCCTACTCTAGCACTAAATCCTCTGAGCACAAACAAGCTACTTTGAATAACTAGCACTTCTTGTATGTATTGCCTCTTCTTATTAAATTGCTGAATACCTTCAAAATTGTAAGTCGCTTTGGACAAAAGTGTCAGCTATATAGCTAAATGTAAATGCAAACGTAAAGACATTTTCCGACAACATTATGAAAACATGAATCATGTACCAAAAATCATGCTCTCACAACATTTCCCTTAACATTGCCTTTCATTAGACATTTGGACCAAGTGCACAACAAATTGTACAATTCAAGAATATTATTATAAAACCTTTACCTTTTCTTCTCAAAATCATGAAAATGCATGTTAAACTTCCTAATATGAACGTTATTTACTAAACTGTTGTTCTTAAAATCAGCATAACGTTAGTGAAAGCTGTTGGTAACAGCTGGACCCAAATCAAACATTTAGATCCATCCACAGAGAGCCACACAGTCCGTAGTACAAATGAATGATGCGTTGCGCATGTCACACTCGTTTAAAGTGAAGGATGCATAATGGAACATGTCATCTTAGTTCACTGTGCTGGCCTACTTCGCCCTCTCGTAAAGGCATAAGAAGCTTTGAGGACAGTGTGCTGTTGTTCATCAGCACAGATCTGGGGCACTTTCCTACGACAGACACATTTAAGCACAAACCTGTGACTGTAATCCTGAAAATTCCAGAAAAAAAAAAACTGACACCTTATCTGACAACTGCTGGATTTAATAAAAGGAATCCAGTTTGCACTCCATTATGTTCAGTAGTGTGAATCTATTGGATGCACTACTTAATATTCAGAAGGAAATAATGTAGGACAAAATAATTCCTCCAGGATTTGCCTGAATTGTGAAAAGTGGGTTATGATACAGTATGTTAGAAGTATGTTACTGTACAGTTAGCCAGCCATTATCAAAAAATAATCCTTCAAGTATGACATGCAGTGAGCAATTAAAAACACGAGTGGGAAAACAAGAAACAATAGCCTGAATGAAAAACAGCAGTCCAATGCTTTTCTTTTCCCCATAATAGGCGCAATTTTTAAAGTCAAAAGTCTTTAGTCTTTAAAAGTTTTAGGAATAAGAAGTGTTCACCAAACCCAGCAAATAAGTTTGTGTTTAATAGAGGTCTAATAGACATTTAGACATACACAGCTTGGCTAAAACAATGCTAAACTTGGGCTGTCAGTGAAAATCTAATAGACATATAAGAATAGTCCAAAACTAGACAAGTCGTCAAATACACAGATCAGACAGACTTTATAATGTGTAGTCAAACGGAGATGGCAAAATAGGCTTTTAGATACACAGCACCTTTAGAAGGGAATAATCTACAAAGTTGCAGTTTAAAGAATTTATTTAAGTAAATGATTAAAAAAAAAAAGTATACAGGATTTAGAAATTGAAACACAGGCTTGTAGATGTTTTGAATAGTTTGTTTTTCAATGTGTAATTCACGTTAACTGGGAATTGTTTTTGGTTGTCGTCTGTTAGACCCATGTGACGTGTACTGCTTAATCTTGGCCAGGACGCTCTTGTAAAAGAGATTTTTAATCTCAATGTGTCTTTCCTTGTAAAATAAAGTTTATAATAATAATAATAATAATAATAATAATATTAATAATAATAATAATAATAATAATAATAATAATAATAATAATAATAATAATAATAATAATAATATATTATATTATTATTATTATTATTATTATTATTATTATTATTATAGTCATTCATTTCTGTTTTTTGATGACTATTCTAGTTTTGACCTATTCTTAGATATCTATTAGATTTCCATAGACAGCCCTCGTTTAGCCTCGTTTTAGTGACCATAGACGACCATGTTTAGACATCTATAAGATAACTATTAGACATCTTTTGAAAACAAAATTATTTATATTATTACATTATTTTGCTGGGAAGTGATGTGTATGTATGAATTCAATAAAATAAAAATAAACACTATAAAATAGACATTAATATGTTGGAATAAATATGGAGAATAGATAAAAAACAGCTCTCACATGGTGTTAAATGACAGAATATAAAGATAGTTTTGAAGCTAGACTGTTAATATTTGTGCCTTATTTATCAGAAACTGTGGAATGAACCGCCAACTATTCCAATGTGTGTTTTACGCAGTGGAAGCCCCTTCAGTCGCAACCCAGAACTTGCAAACACTCACACTCATGCACTTCGCCCAATTTAGCTTATTCAATTCACCTATAGCGCATGTGTGAACCAGCAACCTTCTTGCTGTATATACTGTATATGCATATATACTGTATGTTGGAGACTATATGTATATATATACCGTCAGCTAATATTAACTTACACTGACGAAGGGCAGAGGGTGGCTGAAGAACTAGTGAGAGATTTCAGCTGCTGTCTGGGCTTTCACTGCCTTTTTACACCTCCCTTTCTTCATGTGTTTAATACTTTTTCCCTGTGTCATTTCATTTTATTACACAATTTAATTTGTCAACCAATTAAATTAGTTTTTTACATATATGTATTCCTTTGGTTGTTACCAACATCTGGTGAAAATTTCAAGTCAACAGCACCTTAAGAAATATGTTTAAGGTGATGTATTTAATACTTATTATATATCCCTGAGACTGTATAGACTGAATTAAATATCAATAATTATATTTCATCAGCAGTTCCCAAAGTGAAAGCATGATTATCTATTTTAATCATTCAACCCAAGAGAAAATAACCCCCAATGCAGAGTTCTGCTGTAGCTTAGATTGTTATGTACATAGATGCATTATGTGTGAACTGGGAGATTTCGTTTCAGAGCCAAAGCTGTTTAAGGAACAGTACTTTGATCTTGGCAGCCGGAGAACATCTAAGACACGCAGCGCCCCGTGGACACTTTGACATCATTCACACACTACAAACAGTTGCATCAATGTGAGCCATTGTAAAGGCTATATTTGGTAGCCAGCGTCTCCCAGCTGAGATATTTGCCACAGGTAAACTTACATCATGTGTGTTTTTATGCTCTATATACATTTATATTATAACACTGTGAATCATTTATCACAGCAGACAGAGTCTTTACTTCCTTGTGCTGATTTCATGACCCAGTTAGTCATGACAACCCACAATCTTCTTCATGATGTGAAAGTTGCCTTGATCTTATGACTTAACCCTTTATAGCTCGCAGCTAGCTCTATGCAACTCTCACATGGTCGCCCACTTAAGCTTAGAAGGGCTGCGCCCGGTCAGTACCTGGATGGGAGACCACATGGGAAAGCTAGGTACTCCCGGAAGTGGTGTTAGTGAGGTCAGCAGGGGGCGCTCACCCTGTGGTCTGTGTAGGTCCTAACGCCCCAGTATATTGAGGGGGACTCTGTACTGCTCACTGAGTGCCGTCTTTTGGATGAGACGATAAACCGAGGTCCTGACTCTCTGTGGTCATTAAAAATCCCAGGATGTCTTTCGGGAAAAAAAGTGGGGGTTTTACCCCGGCATCCTGGCCAAATTTGCCCAACCTCCCTGTGTCATAAAAAAAATGTCTGTAAAGTGCTTTGAGTGTCTAGAAAAGCGCTATATAAATGTAAGGAATTATTATTATAGGGAATGTTGTATGAAGTTAATTCTGATCTATTGTCTGAAATCACAATAGTGACTGTTTAATGTCAGAATTATTATTATTATTATTTTTTTTGACTGTTTTCTTATGCAATTCTGAGAAAAATAAATAAATAACAGTAACCATTTATATAGTATAATTTTAAGACTTCTGTGTCGAAAATGATTTCCAAACTTCTATACCATGACTTATGACCAGGGCCAGACGGAATCTGCGGAAGTTTTGTGCTATTTCTGCGGAGAATT